AGTCTGCTATTGTGTAAGTTTCTTGCCACTTTCCAGTTCCTTACTTCATCTGTTTATTCATTCTACCATGTTTTAAAGGATGGCCTCCCATATAAGCAAGCAATACCCACCTGATATGTGAGTTTTTCCTTGCCAAGCAAAGTATATATAGAGGTTTCCAAAAAACAAGCTGTAAACAAAGAGGACAACAAAGGTGAACAGGACTTTTTGTGGTAAGATTACGGGTGTAGCATCACAGTAATACCAATGCTATGCAAAAAACAGTATTGTGCCACTGTGAAAGAAATAAAGATGCTAATCCCTTTCCATGCAAACTGCATACTCTATACAAAGCTTCAAACACAGCAGAGGGTTCTTCCCTCTAATGCTGGCTCTTCATTTCTAGCAATCAAGACCCAAGTGGTAGCAAAAGTGAGGCAACCTGCGTCTATATTGCCTGTTTCTCGTCTTGGAAGGGTACAGGTTAGAAAGTGGACATGTTTCTGGAGGTGATGTTGTAATACTTCCTCAGAAGAATCCTGAAGCACCAGCACTGGTGTTAACAGCTCAAGGGAAAGTCTATGTTCCTACCCAGTGTTTCCTAAAATCTAGTAACTCTGAATAAATAACGACTCAAAACAGCTCCAGAGTCAAGTTTCCTCATATAAAGCCATGCATTTTACTCACTGTAAAACACACAATTACTTGTGTTTGTGGAAATTACTACTCTGATAACATACTGATATTATAGAACCTGAAACAGTATGCCACTGGTTGAGACATTATCAATGCCCTCTAGTATAGGCTCACCAGCCTAAGCACCTTCAGCAGTTCATTCCTCTCATCACCTCCCACTATCCAGAACTGCTGTATTAAATGTGGTAGAAGGTCTCTCTCTTCAGGAACCATTTGTGGACCTATTGCCAGCAAATATGTTTGATCCCTTTTTGATCTTGCTGATGCCATCCAACTCTACATCCTCCTGTGGCAACAAGCTGTAAAAGTTTAATCACCCATTGTATAAAGCAGCATCTTATCTGTTTCAAGCCAGTCCTGGTTTCACCAACTGACCTGAGTTCTAGTGCAGCAACATTTGGTGAGCAACAGTTCTACATTCAGCTCACCTGCTGAAAATCTCCACGTTCGGGTGACATGGCATAATCCTCCTCAGATGAGTCCCAGACTTTTTAGTCTCTCAAGTCAGCAACTCTACCTTCTTGCATGTTTTTGTTACTTCCCCCCACACCCTAAATGTATTACACAAGAGCCATAAACCATATCCACACAAAATACTCAATAGCAGCAATACAGCATCCACTACCTTTCTTGACTTTTTTGGTTGCCACAGCACTCAAACTTATCAGAGTACTATCAACAACAAGATCTTGTCTGACTTCTGACTGCCAGGTCCGACTTCAGTACCTTCACCTTGTCAGTGAGATCTGGCTGCTCCCTCAGGAAAAGCGGGGGGCAAAAGTCAAGGCAATAAAATATCCAACAGAGAAGGCACCTCAGTTAGAGCCCAGCCCCACAGTCCTCAAGCAAGACAAGCAGGGCAGACCCAAAGGCTGTAAGCAGGGTCAGCTAAACTCCTGACCATCACAGAAGCTTGTGTTGACAAGGCAGGTTTGAGGTCAAGCTGGGAAGTCAGCCCACAGGCCAGAGACAGGTCCAGCGTTCCCACGCAGGTCCACAGTGAGAAGACCAAAATGGGAATCGGGCTGTAGACTGGACCAGCAGGACCCACAGCTAGGCACAGACATGGCTACAGCTGAGCTGGAGACCCAATCTCCTGCAACACAGCTCCAGAAGAACTGAACACCCAGAACTGAGTTTAAATGGGGCTCCTGGGACCACGAGCAGATGGGAAGGATGTGGTGGAGGTGCTAGGTGAGGTGGTTCAGAACCATTAGGGATAACTAGAGCACTCAGGGTCCTGACACTAATTAGCACAGCTCTCACAATCAACGAGATTTGTGTCATATATGTCAATGCTCCCCTAACAGAAATGTGTCTTTTTAGCACATTGAGAGCAGAGGTTTGCAATATGTAACTTTCATTCACTGTTCTATAATGCACAATAGCAATAGAAATGTTCCTTCCACCTCTCCCTCCCAATTGGGGGTTGGAAGTAGATGATCTTAAGGTCCTTTCCAACCCAAACCACTCTGTGACTCACCTACTAGAAGGTACCAGTGGAGTGTTTTTTGATGCAGTCTCCCACTTACCAAAAAATGTAAAAAGTAGAATGTGTACACAACCTAAAAAAGATTCACAAATAAAGCTTACCTGGACTGCAAGAGCGCCCAAAATACTCCACTGTTCCTTCCAATGGTGTTTTCATCTGAATTTACAGTCAAGCAATTTCCCTGTGCTGTCCACAGGACTGGAATAGATGGGATATATTGCTCAAGTAATAAAAATGTTTTACTGGTATATTCAAATATGGCAAAGAACAGTAAACAGGGTAAGAACAATGCTTACCAGCAGCTGCAATGCCAATAAAAACAGAAGCAGTGTAGAAAGCCCATGTAGTAGGTTGGATAAAAACTGCAATGTATAGGCTAGAATAGAACAGATCAGTTTATTGCATATAGACAAGTGAACAATGCTTTTGAACAATCAGATAGCTCACTTAGCTTAGGTTGTATGTGAAAAAAAGGGAACCTTTACTCCACTAAGCATGTAGAATTTTATTTTCTATAGTCATTACCCTGAGACCACCACCTGAACTCCAAAGTCTGGAAATGCTGGGGGAAAAATACACTCTGTTTCCAGCAACTCTGCAGTCACACATCTACTGATACAAGTAGTATCTCTCCAAGATGCTTTGCTTAGCCAGTACAATGTCATATATGGCATGGTAGCCTTCGATGTGAAAAAGACAATTATTTAAGAGGAAGCAGACAAAAATTCAAAAGTTATACTTACCTATAAAATACACCACTAACAACCATGGAGAGCTGAGGTTCTACTATAGCAACCACTGAGGGTGAGATAAGATTTGATGCAGAGAATACTCCATAAATAATGGACATGCTACAAAAATAAACAACAAAGATGATTAAGTACTTAAAACATAGGGTGTAAGTGCAACTGATTTAGGAACATACAGTTGATTCCAAAACATCAAGTTAAGTACATACACGATCGAAGTAACTGCATAACCTTCATGGTCAAACATTTCCTTCCTTTCTTCTGTTACCTTCATCCATTGCACTCTGTTTGGGAGCGTTTCTTGGACTGCTGAATAGACTACTGCAGGCAAGCATGGTAATTTACAGCATGCATTTGTCGAACTGTGCCTCAACAATAGTTACTGTAGTTTGTGCCTAGGACTTCTAGAGGAGAATGTTTCAGAGCCTCATTTGTCTCTCAGTTAGGTTTTTATGTTCTGCCAAACACACCACAGAAATTTTATACAGATACACTTTCTGCCAACTATATTTTTAGTTTAAATGAAGATAGTAAAAGCTTCAAAGCAGCAACCAGGTTCTCCTGCGTGCCAGGTTAATTTGGGATACAAAAGGTCTCTGCTCACGCTTGAGAAGTTTTACTGTGCCAGTGCAATTAACAAACAGAACAGCTTCTTGTGGCTTTGCTTCTCATTTCTGACTGCTTCTTTCACATTTATGTTCCAGTATCTCCTGGAAGCTTATCCATGCCACTTATCCTTCACAAAGGTCTCTTCTCCCAAATAACAGGTGACACGACAAGAAGAAACATCCTTGAGCTGCACCAGGGGAGATTTAGACAGGAGATTAGGGACAATTTTGTCCCCAAAGGGTGCTCAGGCATTGGAACAGGCTGCCCAGGGCAGTGCTGGAGTCACCGTCCCTGCAAGTGTTCACACACCATGTAGACGAGGCCCTCCGTGACATGGATTAGTGGTGGCCTTGGCAGTGCTGGGGAATGATTGGACTTGATGATCTTAAAGGTCTTTTCCAACCTGGTTGTTTCTGATTCTATGATTCTACAGGCAAACAAGCAAGGCCTTAGTTAGCAGTTTCATTTATTTTAAAACTTCCACATTCTTCCTCTCCTAAGATAAAATGCTGACAATGTGATGACCATATGGTGGGTTTTCTCCCTAGAAAGAATACATGCAAAACAGATATGTAGTTCAACTGGAAGTAATTCAAAGTAGAACTGGAGTGAATGTGAGAAGCCTGTTTAAAATTCCTTTAGTATGTCACTAAATTGTGAAGTCACCAGAATGCTACAATCTCTTGAGAGTATCTCTCTAGCAGATGGCATTATAATTGCCTTCACTCTGCAAGGAGCAAAGTAAGATCTATGTAAATTACCTTGTGTAGCCACTGCCATGGAAGTCCGTGCTGTTTAAATTTGTGATAACAGTTTGCTGTGAGGAGAAAATCATACATTGTCATACAGTAGAATATATCTTGTTGTCTGAGAACACATGCATCACTTTGAAGTCAGTATCAAACATTAGAATTAATGAAGGTGAATGATATATTCGGCAGGAAAACATGTTTGAAGTAGTAATCAGTATATCATGATTTCATCAGAGACCTTAAAATATTTCACAGAAGTTCTGTTTCACTGAATTCCTCTCTAATGTAGATTTGTATGACTATCTTCATTTAAAAAGTGGGAAAAAAGGAGAAGTTTCAAAACACTCTTCATTTGGCCTAACTCTGAGCTTCTGATTAGAGTTTCCGTTCTTTTTTGGTTTCCTGTTATTTCCCTGTTCCTATTTTTTTCCCTTGAATCAGCTTTAATGATCATGAGACCATGGAATTAGTTGGCTTGGCTGGCAGATCTCGTTGAAAGTCACTTGGAATGACTTTAATGACAATAAATTACATGACTGCATGATCACTGGGTCTAATTCAGTGAGGTGCTCTGAATTCACTGCAGAACTTCTAAGATTCCTGGGCTGTACTAACATCAAGTAACATGCTGAATATGACACTTACAAAAACTATCATAAAATAGTTACTCCTATAAAGCAGTGAAGGACATTTATACGTCTGAACCCAGGAAAGATTCTTCTTGCACACAAGAAAAGAGAAGCTGCAAGAGCTGTAGGCTCAAGAGGTATGTTGAAATCTAACTGTCCTTCAGGCACATTACTAATACTGAAAGCAATGTTGACAGCTCCGTAAGTTAAAGGACCTGGACTGAGTATATCAATAGCAGGGTTCTAAAACTGTAAGTTGTTACAGTGCAATCTGCTTTTAATAGTAAATTTGGATTATGTTATGCTCAATTTTGCTACAGCACACAAAGAGATACACACTAACGCAGCAAATTACTTTTTCAGATGGTGACTTGGTAGTTGTAGCAATTATGGAAGTCTAACTACTTGTGAGATGTTATCCTCATACTCCCCCTCAATATCTAGTTTGTCAGAGCAGAAAAATATGTTTAGATTAAGAAAAACACTCGTGGGCATAGTTAATAATAACAACTTAGGCAAATATTTTGAAAGGGACTATATGGAATAATCAAAAATCCAAGTAATTCAATTGTTAAATATTTCAAGTGTCAAAACACACACTATTTTAAATGGCAAACATTTGGTAAGATTAATTTTCTACTTTCTAAGCAATCAGGCACAGTATCACATGTAGCTCTGCTACCTTAAACTGCTTAGTTATCCAGTTCACCAACTTAATCTAGTTAACACACAATCAATAGAGACAAAATGTCAAGGTGTCTTGCACATTAAGAAATGCCACATAAAGTACCTTTTAGAGTACACAAAAGACAAGGAAGGATGAATAACTGTCATGGAAAACTCGGCATGTTTTGAAATCCACACCTACCGCAATATTTCCACAGGTTTGGAAAGCAGTGAATATAAACATAAATGAGACTCCCAAGATAATGATGTTGAAAAGTTTTTTGGATTCAGGAGACATCTTGTGTTTTCTTGCCAAGGCCTCAGCTTCAGTCTGGAAAAAGTCTATTTTCTTTTAAACGTTTCCTCTTAACTGCTGTTAAAAACAAACAAGCAAAAGGAATAAAAGAAAAAACAAGAAAGCTTAAAAAATTATGATTACTGAGGGCTACTTATCAGCTGCTAGAACATAACCATCAACTAACTTAAATATTGTACAGTAAAATCAGTAACTTGAAAAGCAAACAATAAAGAAAAGTCTGGTACAAAGGGTAAAGACCAGCATTCTCTACCTTTTCCCATGAAGTTAACAGAGCAGACTGCAGTGTGTTACTTCTTCATGACATCACTTTCCCCCAGATGAAGCAGTTTCCCAAACACCAAGCTAGTTCATCAGCTCAGTTGCTTGCCATTGTTTGAAGTCAGAATTCCGGACCACAGCCTCTAAATCACCTGACGAAGGAAAGATGAGACATTCGTCCACAGGAGTCATTTCCATGCATGTTGGACAGGAAATAAGGAACATTTCCCAATCTAGGTCAGCTGACCCAGCCCTTGTGCACTCTGGGAAATGCAGTTTTAGGAAAGTACACCTTTGCTGCTTAAAAGGGTGGAACTCTCCTAATCCTTAACATAAAATGATTTGTACTTGTCTAAGAATTGTAGTCTCTATCCACTGGCAAGATAAGAAAAGCCTCAGGAAATCATCTAAAATAACTGACTTATCTAAGTTTAATCCACTGAATTGAAACAGAGTTATTCCAAATGAAAAATGATTCCTGCCTGGGAAAAACTGCGTATCTCAGTGCCACCAGCACACAAGCTCCACACAGTGCTTCTGTCATTGTCCCAGTGACTCAGGATAGAAAAGAGTCTTCATAATCTTATCTCAGGGAACAGCATTATAATTATCAATTACATGCCCTTAATATTAAGTTGTGAAGATCTCTGTTAAAAGTCAAAAGAGGATCGATCACACATTGACTGAATGGCTGCTTTTTACTGTCACTATCTTCTGTCTGACCTGTTGGTCCTCCAAGTCAGGCTTGGAGCATTCAGCTAAATCAGCTCCACTTAAGTGCAGGAAGGGAAGGAAATACATAACTGGTAGAAGTAAACGCCAAATCAGCAAATACCACCTCGGCTATCAACAGTAAAGGATTAAATAAAACCTGCATCCCTGCTATCATCACATATTTAATACTCAATTCCTCAGTTGCTTTTTATTCAAAATGTCTTTTTTTTTCTTTTTTTTTTTCCAAAAGAGTATTTATTTTTTACTAGTGCAAGAAAGTCCATATGATTATTCACAGGCTATTCTATAAAGATCCAATT